GGATCGCTGCTTACTGACTTGCTCCCCTGGCCGGTGCTCAGCCTGCTTTCGTATGCAACACAGGCCCACCTGCCCAGGGGTGGCACCACCCACAGTGGGCTAGCCCCTCCCACATCACTCAAACAATCAAGAAGATGCCCCACAGACATGGCCACAGGCCAGTTCTATGGAGGAAATTCCCCAGTTGAGACTCCCTCAACCCAGGTGTGTCATGTCAACACTAAAGCTATCCAGCACAAGAACTGTACCTCTGGGCCAGAGGTGGGGCCTTAGTACTGTTTTACTGCATGATCTGATCCTTTTATGGTCTAGGTTTTTCTGCTTCTGAGCAGCAGAGCTCAGATGTGATGTGGGTCAGGTCAGAAGACAGATGTGAAAGGGAATCAGTGAGGTCAGTAACACTGGCCACCTGAGCATCACCAAGCATTACTGATTGCCAAGGGGAGAGTCGGGGGTACTCTTGGTAATGGCCTTTCTCATAGACTTAGTTCTGAGTTTTCATCAGCCAAGCTGTCCGCCTCTCTACCTTGACCCTACACACTCCCTTCCCACCTTTTGTCACCATCCCAAATGACTTATTCATTCTTCATTGCAACATGCAGTTATTCAGTACCCACCTGCATCAGATCCTGCATGATGTGTTGGGGGAAGGTAAAGATGAGTAGACTCGTTCCTGCCTTGATGGCTCATTCTAGTAGACAGAACTGAATGTCAAAACGAAATGCAGTAAAAGGTTTTATGTGCTGTAACAGTGAGAGTTCAAAGGAAGATGATGTTCTTGGCACCAAGTCTTAAATGGTGTAACTCGTCCGAGATGCCTTTGCTAGGGTCAGCTTCCTGGAAGAAGCAACCCAGAGTGAATAAAACAGCTTAGACTTGAACGTTGTGCAGGGCTGCCATGAGTCACCATCCAGGGTTGTTCACTACACCAGGGTGTCCAGCTGATGGAGAGATGGAGATTAAAATCTAGCTCTCTCTAACTGGCCAACAATGAGGATCTGTTATCTACTCAGAGGAAAGAGACAGGCATTTTTCATTTAAAAAAAAGTCATCATCTGACTGGCATTCACTCTGCAGCCACTTTATAAAGGTCTTTCAGACGGGTGTCTCATTTGATGTTCTTATCAACCATAGCAATATGGAAAAGTATGGACACACCTTAGTCCAGGGAAGTTAAATCACTTGCTCAGAGTCATAAGGGAGGCAGAACGGCAGCCCAGGCTCTCTACTCCTTTCTCTTCTCTCTGCCTTGCTGATCATTTCCAAGGACCATCTTCATCCAGCCTTCCTCCTCCCTGGTGGGACTATCCCTGATGCTATCTTATCCTAAGAATGGAACTCAGGCATTGCAGGAGCAGAGTTAGCACCACAATCTGGGCCCCTTACCCCGCCGCACATCTCACTGCAGCTAATGAATTGCTAATACAATTTTCTAGATAATTTTATTTCCATAGCCCCTCATTTTAATGTGTTTCCAAAGGCTAGCATTTATTTGCTTAATCTCCTAGTGTAATAGAATCGGCCCTGACTCATCATACACGCGAATGATCATCTAGGCAGAAACGATGGCAAATTGTTTAATAACTCACAGCTAGTCTTTAGGTTTTTAACTTGCATGCGCCAATAGTTTTGCTTGTCACACACACACACACACACATACACACACACATACATGCACGTACTTCACTAATTTTAATTTTTTGTTTTTCTTTTTTAATTTTTAAAAATATTTATTATTTTTATTTTGTATGTGTGAGTGTATTGCCTGCATGTAGGTAAGTGCACCTGTGTCATGCAATGCCCGCAGAAGACAGAAGAGGCTGTCAGATCCCCTGGAACTGAAGTTACAGACAGTTGTTAGCTGCCATGTGGGTGCTGGGATTTGAACTCGGGTCTTCTGCAAGAACAACCAGTGTTCTTAACCACTGAGACATCTCTCCAGCCCCAATTGTCTTTTTTTTAAAGTCTCTTCGCTCAGCATGACTGTTGGGGCCCAAACAGAGGAGTGGGGACAGTGGAGACAGGGATTCTGAGTCCTTGCTTTCTTCTCTCCTGATTTGTTGATGGGCAAGTGGCCAGAGACCGTTCTTGAACCTTGTGTGATGTCCCAAGAAGGAACAAGAGACACTGGAAGGACTTTGTAGCATTTCTTTGAACTGGTGATCACACTAACACATACATAACCTTGTCAACAAGGTGCAGATCTAGCTGTCTGGGATTTCTTGGCTACCACTCTTTCCAACCAGAGCCCAGGCCCAGCTCCTAGTAAGCTGTTTACTGAAGGACATTATGTTCTCACCTCTTATCCACAAAACCTGTCCTCGACTTGCTCATAGACAACCTGTCTTATCTATACTTTGGGTGGTATTAATTGGCCATCTCCCCTGACCTGGGACCCAAATTCTCTACTGAGCTCAGCCTTACCCCAGTCCATTGGTAATGGAGTAAGGGTGATAAGTGGACATGAAATGAGTTCAGGCCATTCTGTGACATACCAGTGCAGCAAGAGATCAGAGTTCCATAGGAGACTCGGTCTGCCTGGTGGATGGTACCAGCACCCAGGGCACCTCTGGGTTAGCTTTGTAGGAGTGGAATGTCATTCTAGTGGCATCATTTATACACCCTCTTATTCTGTGTTGGAGATCTCTGAGGAAGAGTAAGGAGAAGTCTTGGCTGACAAAGGCAGGGCTATTCAGGGAGCCTGCTCCCCCTGACTGATTTAAAGCAGCTGTTCGAACACTTGGCCCAATCAGGGCTTTCTGTGGGGAAGAGTTCAGGGTAGAAGGGATGCAGGTGCTGGGAATCTTTGGATTGAAGCAGCCAGGACCACTGTGCTGTCTCACAGATCATGTGGGTAGACTCTGCTTTTGTTAAGCAGGCTGGACCAGCCATTGAGAGACTCACTATTAGCCCTGTCTCAGAAAAGCTCAAGTGGAGAGTGACAGAGGAAGACACACTGATGTCAACTTCTGGCCTCCATACACACACTCACAGGGGAGTTTACCCTATTACATATGCATCCCCTGTGTATGCATGCACACACACGCACACACACACACACACACACACACACACACACAAAATACATTGGGTTCAGTCCCATGGTTTCTAAAATCAAACAGACCAAGATGTTTCTGGATCCCAGCTCAGTGGCTTTCTCACTGTGTGACCTTAGGCTAGTTATTTAATCTCTCTGTTTTTCCATTTGTAGGATAGGGGGCTAAGAATGCCTGCACTATAGAGATGCAGGTTTTCAATGACATGACAACACAGATAAAGCACTTAGCACAATGGTCTTTATTAGTTCCCCTTCCCTTCTGCTCTCAGAGATATAGGGAAAATCGGGTGCTCTTCCCTGGTCAGCCTCCTGGCTGCTGGTAGATAGAGGTTGGTTGCACGTCCCTAGACTTCAGTGTCTGTTAAGAGAGGAGACCACAGGTGAATGGGGGGGGGGGTGGTGGTAAGAAGTTGTCTCTGTCTTCCTACTCATCCATCCCAAACCAGGCTATGCATGGTCCTGTGGGGGCAAGAACCAACCGACCTTCCATTTGCTGTCTCCATTGCTGGCCAGGAAGGCAGCAAAGACTCCTCATGCTGATTGTCCTCTCCTCTTCCCACCTGCTCCAGAAGTGCCCACATTCTGTATCAGACAGCCCATGACTTCCTGCAGCCCTGGCACTCTCTCTACTTTGGACTGCACTGACAGACACCAGGCCTCACTCCCTTTCCTATGGTATCCCTCACACAGGGGACAGCCATGTGGGGCTAAGCACAGGTGCTGCTGTCCAGATGCCAGCACAGAGAGACAAGTAGATGGGCTTGCATTGCGTCTAATATGTTTGGGGAGGGAAATCCAACATGGCGGGCAAGGAGCTACCAGTTAAGACTCAGCTGTAAGGTTAGTCACTTCTGGTAGCCAGAAGATCCAAAGAAGCATCAGGAAGGGTTTGGCAACAAAAAGAAAATGGCAGCCTGTGTTTGTGAAGTACAGACACGACAGAATTGAACGAATATCTCATATGACTCACTAGCTCGAAATCCTTGACAGTTTCCCACTGGTCTTCAGATGGGACCCAGAGCTTTCAGTATGGCTGTCGGGACCCCACATACTCTGCCTTCTGGCTTCTCTTTAGTTTCCTCCTCACTTTCACCCTGTTTCTTCAGCTCCCATTGTTAGGACTGATCATCTGAGCAACCAGCTTTTTTGCCACCCCTGAGTGATCATGGATCCATCATCTAGTCTGCTCTCCATACACTGGATGGCACTGAGATTAGAGCAAGGTCTTTGTGTGTTCTTCCATCATTATATCCCCAGAACCTCAAAGAGAGTCATCCTTGTGGAAAGTATCACAGTGCTAGTTGTTGAATGAAATGACTCTCAAAATTCATGCTTTAATGAATGGCAAAAAGGTTAAAAAGAACCTGCAGATGGCCTCAGGAAAGGACTCAAATCCATGGTCCACCTATGAACTCCATGGAAGTTTGGACTAGTGTCTCTGTGCCTCAGTTTTCTCATGCAGAGTGAGCATAGTATAGCCAGCCTTTCAAAGCTGTGGTTTTAAGTGAATTACATTTCATCAATGGTTAGCCCACATCATCTTGGTTACTGTTGGTTCTCACAGAGTCTAACCTGTCTTCCCACTGCTGTCCCAGGCTCTGTAAAGTCCCTGTGATACAAACCCTTCGTACCCTGCCTTCTCTGGTGCTGCGCTCAAGACACTTGAAAATACACATTTGCTGTTGCCATACATGTGATTTTTTTTTTCCTTCACCAGTCTCTAGGTCTCACTGGGGCTGGGCACGTGTTGATTTTAGTCTCCAGAGCCACATCATAAGTGTTTAGTCAACATTGCATGGCCTGGGCTGTCTTCTGGGTTTGACCTTGAATGTGAAGATTAGGACTGCTGATCCCAAGCTGGCTCCGTCCCCAGCCTACAGGGATGAAAATTTGCACTTGTGTTTTCACCTTGCTGAAGCTCTCCCACTGCTGTTTCTCACAGGGACAGACATGGCTGTCTTCTGTCTACTGTGTGGGAAGCGTTTCCAGGCGCAGAGCGCCCTCCAGCAGCACATGGAGGTCCACGCAGGCGTGCGCAGCTATATCTGCAGTGAGTGCAACCGCACCTTCCCCAGCCACACGGCTCTTAAACGCCACCTTCGCTCACATACAGGTAGGCCGGTTCAGGGGATGGGTGGGGCAGGACCTCTGGGAGCCCATATCTGGACCTAACCTCCAAAGAGGGGGTTCCAGGCACCTTCAGCTTTTCTCTGTCCCAGGTTGGATATACGAAGGCTTCCCAAAGGGCATTTAAAAGTTGACTGTTCTCTCAACCCTGCCTCTGTGGGCCATCTGTTCCTGTCTTTCCATGCACAACACAGAAGATGCTCCTTAAAAAGTCATACTTTTGAGTCCCACCCTCAGGAACTTTGATTCAGTGGTCCAGGGTGGGATCCAGAGTTCAGCTTCACTGGTAAATATTCCCAAGGAATGCTGATACAGATGGAGCTAAAATGCATTTTGAGAAAAATTGATCTAACTCTGTCTGCCATGCCCCCCACACTTTCACTGCCCCTTCTCCGTCTAAGAATACCATGGAAGTAGGCTCCACAGAATACACTAAAAGAATTATCCTGCTTTCTCCACAGTAACAGGAGGCCTCTGCTTTAGTCTTAATGTGGTCTAGGAAAGACAATGAGAGTATTGGAACAGTGGACCATGAGATAGCCCTGCTCAGCCAATTCACATGATGAGGGGGAAGACAAGATCTGTGTGAGTCAAGGAGGCAGGGCCAGGTGCCCAGTCCTGCCACCACCCTCTGGGTTTGAGGGATGGGAGACCTAGTGTCTGAAGTCCCTGCAGCAACCCCTGGTCCTATTCCCCTAGCAGAAGAATAGATGACTTGACTTCCTTCTTTATCCTAAGACAAAATGGAATCATCTCTAACTGTCCCTGGGTAAAAGAATACCCATTTCTGAAAAATCTGTCTCTGTCTCTGTCTCTGTCTCTGTCTCTGTCTCTCTCTCTCTCTCTCTCTCTCTCTCTCTCTCTCTCTCTCTGTGTGTGTGTGTGTGTGTGTGTGTTCTGGTTTTGGGGAATGGCTGGGGTCAGGTCTTTATGTGGGTTGACAGAGTACATGCCCAGGCTTGCTGGAGAGGGCATAAAAAAGCTCTACCTGCCTCACAGAGGGATGGTAGATCCTCTCTGCTCATTCTTAAGAGCCTTGTCACAGCCCAGGGATTGAGTATGCAGCCAGGCCTTACATAGGTGACAGGCTCTGCTGAATAAGGGAGGGGCTTTGCTGGTATGGGCTGAGCCGGCCTGGTCTGCCAGCAGTAGGCACCCTTGCCACAGATCCTGCCTGTGCTCTCCCTTCTGGATGCCATCCTAGTGAGAGGAGCACAATACCATTGCATCACCAAATGGGAATGGATCACCAGGAGCTTAGAACTACCTAAGGCTGCTCAGTGGGAAGGAGGAGGTCCCAATGGATAAGATCCAACAAGAAGGACGGAGGAGGAAGGTTATGCAGAAAGACTTTCTCTACAATGTCTACTTAAGGCTCTCCCCTGAGGCATAGGTACTGCCCCATCAATGCCTCTCTCAACGGCACTCCAAGTTCAGCCTTCAGAAAGATGGTCAGTCAATTTTCAGCCACTTCAGAGTATGCCACTGGGTCAAGTCTCTTGGTTTCACATGACATGAATGGTTTCAGTCCTAAGTCCACCCAGATTGCACCTTGCCTTGCCCACGCCAACTTTTCAGAGCTCAGGTAGCCACATGTTAGCCCTGCTCTATCTACCCTGTGAGCCATGCTTCAGGTCCCCATCATGGACGGAGTTTGAGAGAAGCCCTTGCTTATTCTAGAAACACAGACATGTGTGCCCCTTGTGAACACACACACAAACACCCCTCGATTTTCACATGGACCCAGCACAGGCTCTGCACACACCCCCTACCCCAATGCCTCCTTAATATTCCGTTGTTCTTGGCCCATTTGCTGCTGCAGCCGGGTATTTAGCATCGGCAGCTGTGTTTGGTAGGTTAGTCCAGCCGTGCACTTGGCATTGATGGATCCCTGATTCACACAGCTCATCATAAAATAAATTCAGCTGTGCTGAAGAGAGGTTCTGAGAGGGAGGGGCCTGTGGACCCCAGGGGCTGGGGTTGAGGTGGGAAGGATGACACTGGGCTTGGCCAGAGCCAGGGAAACCACTAGGGAATGAGAAACTGGGGAAGGAGGCGGGTCACAGGTGCCCTGGGCAGGCCAGAGGGGCTCTAATTAGTCTCGTTTGTCCTGCACTTAATGTCAAGCTCATTAACGTGTCTACAGAGTTAATCAACATACCACAAATTGGATTTTGACTTCTGCCGCCAGTTTTATGTACATTATGGCCAATGTGACACGATTAGTTCTTGGGGTAGGGGTTGCGGGTCCTGTGGCCACCTAGCTGTAAAACTTGGGTGGGGTGGGGTGGGCATGTGTCTTGTCAGTTTTGCTTTTTTTTCACTCTGCCAGTTCTTTTTAGTTCTTTCCCAGGGCAGACTCAAGAGAGTTACTATTTAAACTCATTTAACATGTGATCCACTTCATAATTAAATTCATAAAAATCTGATCAAACAAACCCCTCAGTTGTTTGTTAAACTCTGAGGGCCCCCCTCTGGAGGCAAGAGGCACAGACAGGCAGCCAGCCCTCCTCACCAGCTTCCCCTGGGGCTGGGTGACTGCCGATGTACGTTTTAATTACCGGCTCCGGCTGAAGTCTCACGTGGTCTTTGCTTTATTTATTTATTTATATCTTAATGAGGATACTGAATCTTTGATTAAAGTCGTAATCGTTGCCAATTCAGGAAGGAGGGGGAGTGGATGTCAGACCAGACAAGGCCACGTGTGCAGACACACACAGAGAGGGAGTGACGTGCAGGCTCACACACACACACACAGACTGCCCCTCATTCTGGTAGTCCCAAAGTCAATTAGTACCAGCATCAGTAAGGGCTGGTCTCTTGGCTTTGATAGGGCTGGAGTTTGGGGAACAGGTGCTCCTTATAGAACTAGCATTGAGAGGACAGGCTTCCCAGAACTCTAGGACTTAGCCCCAGATCTGCATGTGAGAGACTCCACTAGCCAGCAATACTTCTGAGCCAGGCCAGTGCCCCTTAAAGAACTGGATAGAGAGATGGCTTCTTTGAGTTTCTTCGATGGAGCCTCCCCCAACTCCTGCCCCCCAGGTCCTCAATGCTTTTTGTAAATCTTCCACCCATGAGTCAGTCAGTCAGTGAACAGACCCCAGATCCACTCCCCACAGAGCCTTTAAACCCTTCAGAGCAATCAGAGGAGGTGAGAATTTATGTGGGTACAGGGGCCTGTATTCAGGAAGGGGGAACATTTGGTTAGCGGCCTGTGGTGGGGAGACAGTGTAGAGAGTAAAATATCATTTTAAAGAGGAAGTGGAGGCACAGGCATGCGAGTCTATAAGGAGAAGGACAATTTATGCCCAGGCACGAGCGCAGTTTGACATGAGGATAATGAAAAAACGTAGGTCATTGTGGATGACTTAAACCTTCAGCAGCTGAAGAGAATGTATGAAATGCAGAGGACATTACACGGTTGGCAGCCTCGCACATCTGCAGAGGGACAAGTGAAATACAGTGGGCCATTCTTTACCATAAACTGTGGTTGTTGGAGATGCAGCCGGGAGAAATTGTAATTACAGTGACAAGACGAATCAGTGATATTTAAATATTCATGAACAAAGTCTGGGGTGATCAATCTATCTTTATTGTCTGTGCCCTCACTCCTGTAATAAATAAGTAGCTTACCTTTCATCCCCCAGGCTCCCTACTTCTGGTACAAAAATGCAAGGTGGTAATCCCATCCCTTACCCCACAGGGATTTAAGAGTAGGTGTCCCAGGAGGAGAACAGGGGGCCAGTGAACATAGATTCTAGACTCAGGAAGGATTGTTCTTCTCAGTTCCATACTTAGCATTCTTGAAGAGTTGGTTCTGAGTCACTCCTGGGCAAGCACTGGGCTACAAGGGAGGGTGAGGTGCCTTAGCCTCCAGGTGCTTCCTCTCTAGAGGCATGGTGAGCCTGCCAATGGATCCAGTACAACACAGCCTTTAGCCAGACTCTAGGTATGTTGGGCCTTCCAATGGATACAATACAACATGGTATTTAGCCAGACTCCAGAACCAGATCAGAGCTGGAGTCCCAGCCTAGCAACTTACTAGCTTGGGACAGTGCTTGAGCATCTCTAAGCAACTCATTTCTCTCTCAGATAACTTCCATGATCATGTGACATGATCTCTGTCACATCCTCAGCATAGCAGTGAGGCCATTTAAATGGGAAAGAATCTTTTTTTTTTTTTTTTTAAATCACACTTCTATAAGTAAGAGGCCCAAAGTGTTGAATATTCCAGTCTTTGGGGACAGAAAAGAAAGTGTGCCTGGGGAACTGATGGGAAGCTTCCGAATGAAGATGCTGGACGAGCTGGGCTTTGAAGGGTGGATAGGTGTTCACCATTAAAAGAGGAAATGGAGAGATGATAGCAGAGTTAGTCAGTGGAACAGGAAGAAGACAGAGAATAGTTGAGGGAGCAAAGAGAAATTCTCCAAGTTGGAGGGACCTTTTGGAGGGTGCAGAAGTCAGGCTGGTGTGGCACCTGACTGAACCAGTGGACAGGGAGAAGAGACAGTATGAAGAGGAGGCAAACAAGGTCTCAAAGCCCTGGGCTCTGCTGCACCTTTGGGGTTGGGGGTGGGGAGCTGCTTTCTGGGAGTTGCTGCTCTTGACTGAGCCAAGTGGGCTTTCTTTTCCTTATTCTGGTCATTATCCCATGGATGACTGTGGGACCACAGTAAAGTCTGGATGTGTGCGCATATGTACTGGCTGTTCATGTTATGGGAATCAACAGACACTGTTGATGGTGAAGTCATCTTGGAAGGTGGTTAAACATAGGCCATCCCAGGACACCAAGCATGCCCTGCTGTCCCCTGATGCAGGGACAGAAGGAAGCAAGGGCCTGATTCAGTCCCTTGAACCCACAGGTGATCACCCATACGAGTGTGAGTTTTGTGGCAGCTGCTTCCGGGATGAAAGCACACTCAAGAGCCACAAGCGCATCCACACAGGGGAGAAGCCCTACGAGTGTAACGGCTGTGGCAAAAAGTTCAGCCTCAAGCACCAACTGGAGACACACTACAGGGTGCACACAGGTACCACGGGCCAGGGAGGGGCCCTGGGTTGGCTCTGGGACCTGGGGGCGGGTGTGGGAAACAGATGGCTCCTCAGAAAAGCCCAAGGCTCAGCCAGAGAGAAAAGGTTCTATTAAGAGATAACATGGGGGGCAGGGGACTGGAGAGATGGCTCAGTGGTTAAGAGTACTAGCTGCTTTTGCAGAAGACCTAGGTTCGGTTCCCAGCACCCACATGGTGACTAACGACTTTCTATAATTCCAGTTCCAGGGGATCTGATGCCCTCTTCTGGTCTCCATGGACATTGCACAACATGGGTGCACTTACATATATGCAGGCAAAACACTCATACACATGAAATAAAAATAAAGAAATGTTTAAAAAAAAACTAATATAGGGCCAGGCATAGTGGCATACACCTTTAATCCCAATACTTGAGAGGTAGAGGCAGGCGGATCTCTGTAATTTCTGGCCAGTCTGATACACATAGTGAGTTCTAGGCTTGCCAGGACTATATATTAAGACCCTATTTCAAAAGGGGGAAGGGGACTGTGTGTGTGTGAGAGAGAGAGAGAGAGAGAGAGAGAGAGAGAGAGAGAGAGAGAGAGAGTAGTCTGAGTACCATGAGCCCTTTCAAGACCAAAGAAGACATTTCTAATCAGTTGTGGCAGACATTAGTAATCAATCATAGGCTACTGTCTCATGAGCCCAGTCAGCCCCCTGAAGCAACCTCACAAAAATAGTTGAGGAATACCATGCAAAATGATGCCTATTCATGAGTCTTAAATTAGGGTTAAGTTGGCCAGGTGAGTGAAAAGTGAAATGGGGGTGGCTTCATGATGCTCTATCTAGAGTTAGAAGCAGAATCAAAGGGCAGTTAAGTAAGTTGTGATAAGGGTCAGGAAATGGTGACTTTAGATCAGGGTCAGTTCTGAGAGGAGCAGATGTAGTTAATAACCCCTCCATGGGTAGAATGTTTTACCATTTCAGATTGTCCCCACATGCCTTCTCAAATAGAAGAAATATGAGCATCTGTCCTCTTTGGGGTCTGAGGACAGACAAGTGGACATTGTCTAGATTTCTAGAAGTTCCAGAGTCCGAGGCAGCAGAGCCCTGAAGCTGGCCTAGACCTACTGGGAAAGCCTATTTTTACCCCATTTCAAGTTCAATGACATCATCTTGGTTGCTTAAAATTGGCCTTGGTGGGAGTATTGACAGCACAGCAATAGAGCTGAGTGTTTTTGGAGAGCTGGTTGTTGAACTCACCCCCAGCACACTGCCTATGGGGGGAGGTAGGATTTCCTGTGAGGCTGAGATGGTGAAACCTAGCAAACTAAGAAGCACTCTGTGATCAGTGGAGACAGCACCCAACCCAGAGGAAGGGGGAGATGTAACCTTCACTTGCTTATGGAGGAGGCAGCCAGCAGGAATAGGAGGCAGAACTCTGTACTCTGGCCTCTATTTTGAGACCCCAGGAGAGGATGGGGTACTCATTGATGACAACATGAGTGACCCAGGGGATTTTCCAGAGCCCTGGGGTTTCCTTAGCCCCTTGTTGGGGATGTGACCTGCATGCAGATCATTAAATGCATCGGCAATGACTATTGTAAATAGCTGGTCGATAGTTAGATCACTTTGACTGTTCATTACTTCATTATTTGCTGGGGCCTCTGCACGGAGGAGTATTGATAGGGAGATGGCTGACCAGTTAATTACTGTATTGAAACAAGGTTCCCTTACATCCTCTGCTCAGCTCCAGGGAACTCCAGTGAGGGGAGGGGCAGTCTGGATGACAGGCTAGGGTGTGGTTGTGTCCTCTGAGGTTCTCTACACTGCCCCTCCCCCTATTCTAGCTCCAGAGGCAGAAGCAGGGTCCAGGGGAGGCTCTTAGAACTTTAATAGGTAGATTAAAACAGGGTGTGTTGGAAGGACTCTGGGTTCCTTAGATTCCCCCACCCCTCCTCCTTGCCATCTATAGCCCTAAAAGGACTTCACTCACTCTTCTACTCCCCATGGATGAACTGTGCTATGAAGAACCACCCCAAAGGACTTCAGGGTCCTACTACCTCCTTCCAAGGCATCCATTTCCTTAATTAGAAGAAAAGAACCCATGCTTTAAGATAGGAAGACCAGGGGCCAAAGCTGTGCTGTGAGTCCTATAGTCACTAGCCACAGTAGTCTATTTATAGTCTCACAAAATAAAGCAAAAGTGTAATGTCCCAGTAACAGCCACACCAAGAGTCCTGTATGACTAATGGCTACCATGTCGGATGGACCAGCCATTATCTTGGGAATTTCTGGTGGAGACTGGTGGGCTAGAGGAACAGACATTCTCTAACAAGCCCAAGGGTGGTACAGAGTCCTTGCGGTCCTCACATTCTCCTGCCCTGTCTTGTCACAGGTGAGAAACCCTTTGAGTGCAAGCTCTGCCACCAGCGCTCCCGGGACTACTCGGCCATGATCAAGCACCTGAGAACACACAACGGCGCCTCGCCCTATCAGTGTACCATCTGCACGGAGTACTGCCCTAGCCTTTCCTCCATGCAGAAACACATGAAGGGCCACAAGCCTGAAGAGATCCCCCCCGACTGGAGGATAGAGAAGACTTACCTCTACCTGTGTTATGTGTGAAGGGGGAACCCTGCATGGTAGATCAGCAGCGGGAGCCAGTAAAGCTAGAGTAAGACAAAGTGAAATGACTGTTCAAAGAAAAGGAAAAAGAAAGAAAAATAGAAAAGAGAAAGAAAGGAGAAGGAACCTGGTAGTTATTTGGCCTTGGGTTCTCTCTGGGGCTCCAGGTAACCTGGATGTTAAGCTACTGTCCCTTCCCTGGGCCCTCTCTTTTGGGTGGGTGGAGGTGGGTTTGCTTATTCACATGGTGATATATTTTTCTCCTCCCTCAGCCTAGACCCTCCTTTTGTGTCCAGAAACAGAGACCAGAAAGCAGGTGTGAGGCCTTCTGGTCAGAGCCACAGCCTCTCCCCTTAACTCTTCCTTCTGCCTCTTTAGAAAAGGGTCAAAGGGAAACAGAAAGGAGGCCTAAGACGATGAGGGATCCCCTGGTTGATGCTCAGAATGACAGCTCTGATGTGCTAGGGACAGACTGAGAAGTAGAAGGACTCTCTTCTGCCCAGCCACATCTGGGTGCCCTTCATGGACTCTGAGAGCCTCATGGCTCTTATCCCTCAGCTTCCTGCCCCTGCTTGATGCCTGTCCTCCTAGGACCCGAGGGGCTCATACCCACATGGATCTGGGCTATATTTCACCACCTCAGGGGGAAAGCTGCGTCTAATTCCAGAGCCCCTTCCTCCCCTTAGCTTTCTGAGAACTCAGAACAAAATTAATCAGACACCCTGACCCAGCCAAACCCCCTCCTGGGCAAGATTCCTGCTGAGTTACTTTCTGCTTACAAAATGGAAACAAAATAAACAGAAAACCAACTAAATATATTCCATCCCACCATCCAAACAAGCACACATTGCTACAACCCCATTTTAGTTCCTTGAGGAAGGAATCCGTCATCCTGTCTAAAGGGTCCCATTGTCTAAGAGGAATGGATGCCCTCCCGCAGGTGAGCAATATACCTACAGGAGGGAACAGATGCCCTGCCTGTGCGGCACTGGGTTACAGTCATACTGGGGATCCAATAAGCAAAGGGCCTGGGGAAACCCCAGACCCAGGGAGCCCAGTGGGAACACTGGGATCTGGAGATGAGCACAGAATTCCTGGCTCAGGGTCTCCCTCATCCCCCAGGGAGCAGTGAGGAGGAGCTGATGGCGCTTAGGCCTCTTGTGTTTGCTTCGTTAGCACATTGTACTTGAATTACCTCAGTTTTTTGTTTGTTTGTTTGTTTTTGGTTTTGTTTTTTTGTGACCTCATGAGCTTTTTAAACCCCTGTTTCTTTTGGGGAGCTGGGGGTTGAGAGAGTTGGAGAAATGAGGAGGGTATACTATTCTGTTCTAGTGTAAATGAATATTTGGCTTTGGACTTGACCTGGTGGGGGGCCTCCCCTTTCCTGTCTGGAAGTGATAGGAAGAAAAGGAACACTCAGGATCTGAATGGGAGGCCAGGAGAGCTAAGAAGGTGGGGTGGAGGGGACAGTGACTGGGTCTTGTCCTGCCCATGGGTCACTTAGGAGTCACTGCTGGCGTTGCCCAGGGCTCAGACCATCAGTGCCCACCTTTGGTTCAGCCTGAAGCACTCTAGAGAAAAGTCCTACTACTATTAGGACTTTCTGGGCTGGTCAGACTTGAGGGGGCCTGTGTTATTAAGATATATACAACCATATGGTTCCCTCCGTGTGCCATCATCACTGCCAAAATTAGTGTACTTTCATGGCCAATGTGTTTGTTTGTGTGTGGTGGGGGGTGGCCCAGCCTGGGCTTTATTGTGCTGGGCGGGGTGTGGTTTTTCTAAAAGCTACCTCTTATGTTTGTCCAGTCGCTTCTCCTTCCGCCCCTGTTGCTGCTTTGCCTCCTCCCTTCAACTCCCGCCCCAACTTTGGAAAGCACATTTGCAATATTCGTATTTGCTTTGGGATGGACCTTCCGTTTCATTGCATGTTTTATGTGTAAGATATTCTGTTGCCGTTGTTTTTATTCTTTCTCTCTCTGAGAAAGTCATGGCTGCGTTTTGATCTTAGGTTTTAAAAAGTGGTTTAGGGAAATGGTTTGGTGGGGAGAATGGTTGTAGGATACAGCAGGAAGTTGGAGGGACGGGTGCTGCTGTAGTCACTCCCCCGTCCCTCAGTCCCCATCCCTGTGGCCCTCCCCTTCAATCTCATCCACTGTATCTGAAGGCCTTAATAATTGTGTGTTAGGAGGATGTGGAGTAGATACTTGTCTGTGGACTGTGGATTGGGGATGGTAAAGTAGGGAGGATGCTGTTTTGCAGCCCTAGTGATGACTTAGTGGGTTGGAAAGGAAAAGGATTTAAACTTGAAATATGTGACTAGGAACAGTTTGTCATGTTTATAATGTGAAAAGAGTGAAATCTTTTATGGGGAGGAGCAGTTTTTAAGAAACCATTATGCACTATGGCTTCCTCCCCCAGTTTAGAGAGGAAAAAGATGTGTGTGGGGGGACTGCTGACCCTCAGGGGATCTGTAAATCCCAGAAAGCAGTATTTTTAACAGCAAGCTGTCATTCAACATTTGGTGGCGAAGGGAAAAAAATATCAAAAATATCCATACAACCAGCTGGTCCTTCTCTTCCCTGGCCTTCCCACTCAGCCTGTCCCCCCACCCTGCCCATTCATAATATCTTGAGAGGGCTGAGCTGATGATCTTTACAAATTGTAATATTTTTGTAATATTTGTTAGTTTTCATCAGTTCTATGGGACTTTGCTCTTTACTTTTGTAATGTGAGTAGGAAAAAAAGATTAAAAAAAAAAAGAAGGAAAAAAGAAAAAGACAAAAAAAAATGTTTTACCAACAGCTCCCAGAAAGCAGTATTTTTAACAGCAAGCTGTCATTCAACATTTGGTGGCGAAGGGAAAAAAATATCAAAAATATCCATACAACCAGCTGGTCCTTCTCTTCCCTGGCCTTCCCACTCAGCCTGTCCCCCCACCCTGCCCATTCATAATATCTTGAGAGGGCTGAGCTGATGATCTTTACAAATTGTAATATTTTTGTAATATTTGTTAGTTTTCATCAGTTCTATGGGACTTTGCTCTTTACTTTTGTAATGTGAGTAGGAAAAAAAGATTAAAAAAAAAAAGAAGGAAAAAAGAAAAAGACAAAAAAAAATGTTTACTACCAACAGCAAAATGCCCCTTTGTGTGTGTGTGTGTGTGTGTGTGTGTGTGTGTGTGTGTGTGCACTCTGTGTATGTGGTTATGTGTGAAGTCACACTGTGTTGTCTGTGCTAGTGTCTCACTGTTGGATATTACTCACTCAGCACCAACCTGCCCTATGCATCCCTGAGGGCTTCAGGGATCCTGGTGAGAGCCAGGGGCAGCTAGAAGGGGTACCTCTATATACTGTTCCCTTCCCTCTGTTCCCCCTACAGCCCTAGACACCCCAAGAAAGTCCAACATGCCTGTTCCCCTTCCATTGCATTTCCTCTTTCTCAACATGCCTCTCCTACAAAGAGGAAATGGTTCTAAAGTTTCCAGAGCCTTCTCTGCCAGGCCTGATGACCATCGGGAAGGTAGGAAGCTTCCAGGAGGCCTTCTTGGTGTCTGCAGTGCAGGAAGTCAGGGAGGCTAGGGGGGTGGATGCATTTCCCTTCTTAGGGAAGCACAGACTGTATTTCCTCCCTTCATCTCTGAGCCTCCTGGCTTGGTACCCCTCTGCCTTCAGCACCCCTCTGCCCTCTGTTTTCTTACAGTACCCAGGCTTGCTACTGCCTTATCCAGTCTGGTGAACCTTCTTTAGCCTAGCAAATCCAAGCTGCTTAACAGTCCCTTCCCCTGCCCAGCTCCTATGAGTGAGTCCCTTAATGCTATTGGTGACCCTTTACTCACTCAGTGTTCCTTCCCTATTCACTCCTTTGCTCATTTAAAGCATTAAAATCCTATGTGTATATAGGATAGACAAATATATATATATAGAGAGAGAGATATAGCAAGAGAGATATAAAATAGAAAATGTCATTGCTTGGCTGCTTTACAGGAGGCCACAAAGAAGAGGAAGGCAGATCTGGGGCACAAGGGTGGACCAGGGACTGGGGAACCCAGTGATTCAGTACAATCCAGGGTTGTGACACGGGCTTGTTTAATCTTTGTGCCTGAACAGTTTTTCCATGTTGAGAAAAGAAAGAAAGAAAGAAAGAAAGAAAGAAAGAAAGAAAGAAAGAAAGAAAGAAAGAAAAAAAACGCTGCAATTTTTCACAAGTGTGTGGTATGCTTCTGGGTGCTATGGGTACAAGGTGGAAGGGCCACGGGGGCCCTGCTTAGAAGAGCAAGCAGGGGCAGCTTTTGGTTTGGGGCCATGTGAGGGGGAGGGAAAGTAGAGTGGGCAGACTTTGGCCAATACCCTGGCAAGTCAGACTAGAGTGGAAACTGGGGGCACCAGGATGCAAGACAAACAATCCAGAACTATCTGGGGCTCAAGTCATGAATTTTTTCCTTGACCCGTTGTCATCTTTTCCCTTCCACCTCATCTCCTTCTCCCCTAGCACTTCTGGCTTGGGTGCTGGGACTGCACTTACCTGGAGATGCCCATGGGCAGACAAACAGCAAGACTAACCCTACGTGATGGGATAGATGAGAAGAGTCAAAAAATAAAAATAAAAATAAAAAAGTAAGAGAAGCCCAAGAAACAGGTGCAGGACAAACCAGATAGACTCGGTCAGAGGAAAGGATGAGGAAAAAAGAGTGCAAGTCCCAGCCAGCCTGCCTGCCTGCCAGCCAGCCGCAGCGCGACTCCCCTTGGCTCCTGGGCAGCCCACTTTGCAGACAGGGTCCCTTCTCCCCGTGTGTAACATAGTCTTTGTTCACATAGTGTTATGCATGATCCTTGTAAGGTGAAGAAGCCGTGGTGATGTACCATGCCATCCGCCCTATATATAAAGATAAATAAATATATATATATATATATGTATGTAAGTTATAGCACTGAGGGCTCCGCGGCCCTGCTGGACCAAGCAAAACTAAGCCTTTTGGTTTGGGTAATATGTTTGTTTTTTATTTTCTTTTTTTTGTGGCTTTTTT